GGCACCATCCCTACGGTGAAGCATGGTGGTGGCAGCATCATGCTGTGGGGATGTTTTTCAGCGGCAGGTACTGTGAGACTAGTCAGCATCGAGGCAAAGATGAAAGGAGCAAAGTACAGAGAGATCCTTGATGAAAACCTGCTCCAGAGCGCTCAGGACCTCAGACTGGGGCGAAGGTTCACCTTCCAACCGGACAAAGACCCTAAGCACACAGCCAAGACAACGCAGGAGTGGCTTCTGGACAAGTCTCTGAATGTCCTTGAGTGGCCCAGCCAGTCGAACATCTCTGGAGAGACCTGAAAGTAGCTGTGCAGAAACTCCCCAAATACATGTGTGCCAAGCTTGTAGCGTCATACCAAAGAAGACTTGAGTCTGTAATCGCTGCCAAATGTGCTTCAACAAAGTGCTGAGTAAAGGGTCTGAATACTTATGTAAATAAGGTATTTCTGTTTTATTTTTAATACATTTAAAAAAAATTCTAAACCTGTTTTTGCTCTTTCATTATGGGGTATTGTGTGTAGATTGCTGAGGATTTTTAAATATTTTTTAATCCATTTTAGAATAGGGCTATAACGTAACAAAATGTGGGAAAAGTCAAGGTCTGAATACTTTCCGAATGCACTGTATATACACTGAATAAAAGTAAACGCAACATCCAACAATTTCATATCTTACGGAATTAATTCATATAAGGAAATCAGTCAATTGAAATAAATTCATTAGGCCCTAATCTATGGATTTCACATGACTGGTAATACAGATATGCATCCGTTGCTCACAGATACCTTCTTTTTTTTTTTTTTTTTTTTTGTAAGTAGGGGCATGGATCAGAACCAGTCATTATCTGGTGTGACCACCATTTGCCTCATGCAGCGCAACACATCTCCTTGGCATGGAGTTGATCAGGCTGTTGATTGTGGAATGTTGTCCCACTCTTCAATGGATGCTGGATGTTGGCGGGAACTGAAACACGCTGTCGTACATGTCGATACAGAGCATCCCAAACATGCTCAATGGGTGACATGTTTGAGTATGCAGGCCATGGAAGAACTAGGATATTTTCAGCTTCCAGGAATTGTGTACAGATCCTTGCGACATGGGGCCGTGCATTATCATGCTGAAAGATGGTAATGGTGGCGGATTAATGGCACAACAGTGGGCCTCAGGATCTCGTCATGGTATCCCTGTGCATTCAAATTGCAATTTTGATCAAATGCAACTGTGTTCGTAGCTTATGCCTGCCCATACCATAACCCCACTGCCACCATGGGGCACTCTGTTCACAACGTTGATATCAGCAAACCGCTCGCCCACACAACACCATATGCCACACGACACGATTAATCCGCGAAGAGCACACTTATCCAGCGTGCCTGTGGCCATCGAAGGTGAGCATTTACTAGGGCTGGGTGATATGGCCAAAATATCACTATTGTTCAAATTTGACAGTATGACGGTATTTGAATAATACAAGTTCTAAATTTGCTTTGAGTAGTGTGTGACCCTACAATGGCAACCGATTAGGGCTCACCCCATTTGGTCGATAGGCTGTTGGTCAACCGAGATTTCTTTAGTCGCGCAGTAGCAACATTTTTTTTTATTTTTATAATCATGGTGTGCTAAACACCTGTCTGATTCGTGCCTGTCTGAGTGCACTGATCCATTGTGGAGGCCGTGGGGATGGCACAGTCCATCAGTCTAAGACGTGCTACTGAAATTGTATATAGTTATATTACTTAAGAACAATGGTGCAACACTAATACAAGTATTATTTTATAACGTGCTTCCTCCCGCGTGGCATAGTGGTCGTTGTCTGCGTTTCTGAAACACATCAGTGCGCTGTTGAATTGGCGCCTTTTCTAGACCATGTTTTGCATAATAGTGAAGTTAACCAGCTTATTGGTGTTGACAACAATGTGGTGGAGGCAGCAGCAGAGTTAGGAGGCAAGAAAACAGCCCTTGCCTTAAGGGGCTAAGAAAAGTGAGGAGCGAGGAAACCCCATCTTAATTAGGTCTATAATCAATAGCCAAACTGTTAAATGTGCCTGGCTTTATAAATCATATCTACAGAAATAAGACAGATCCTGCTTCTGTTGCCTGTTTGAGTGTTTGTTTAATAGCCTAGTGATTCCGTGAGCACCAAGCCTCAGGCAACCACAACATGTCAGAAACAATTTCACAAATGTGGCTGTTTTTAATCTTTGCTATGCTGTAATAAAGGCTTTACACTTTTTTTAGTCAGACCAGCCTCTCTGGTATTATTTACTATTTATTAAGTGTTTACACTTCCAAATTGTCAGAAATTATATTTATAAAAATAACCAAATTTTTTCCTTGCTCTCCTTATTGTTATTAATACTATTATTAATCATCGTTATAATAATTAATGTCATTATCATTAGTAGGCTTAGTATAGCAGCCTTGCATAACCACCATCAAGCTGTAGGTCTAAGAGCGCATCCTGTTTATTCCTATATTTCAATACTTATATAAAGTGGGGGAAAAAAGTATTTAGTCAGCCACCAAATGTGCAAGTTCTCCCACTTAAAAAGATGAGAGGCCTGTAATTTTCATCATAGGTACAGTGGGGGAAAAAGTATTTAGTCAGCCACCAATTGTGCAAGTTCTCCCACTTAAAAAGATGAGAGAGGCCTGTAATTTTCATCATAGGTACACGTCAACTATGACAGACAAATTGAGAGAAGAAAAATCCAGAAAATCACATTGTAGGATTTTTTATGAATTTATTTGCAAATTATGGTGGAAAATAAGTATTTGGTCAATAACAAAAGTTACTCAATACTTTTGTTATATACCCTTTTTTGGCAATGACACAGGTCAAACGTTTTCTGTAAGTCTTCACAAGGTTTTCACACACTGTTGCTGGTATTTTGGCCCATTCCTCCATGCAGATCTCCTCCTCAAACGTTTCGGGTAGCCTTCCACAAGCTTCCCACAATAAGTTGGGTGAATTTTGGCCCATTCCTCCTGACAGAGCTGGTGTAACTGAGTCAGGTTTGTAGGCCTCCTTGCTCGCACACGCTTTTTCAGTTCTGCCTACAAATGTTATATAGGATTGAGGTCAGGGCTTTGTGATGGCCACTCCAATACATTGACTTTATTGTCTTTAAGCCATTTTGCCACAACTTTGGAAGTATGCTTGGGGTCAATGTCCATTTGGAAGACCCATTTGCGACCAAGCTTTAACTTCCTGACTGATGTCTTGAGATGTTGCTTCAATATATCCACATAACTTTCCTTCCTCATGATGCCATCTATTTTGTGAAGTGCACCAGTCCCTCCTGCAGCAAAGCACCCCCACAGCATGATGCTGCCACCCCCGTGCTTCACGGTTGGGATGGTGTTCGTCTGCTTGCAAGAACCCCCTTTTTCCTCCAAACATAACGATGGTTATTATGGCCAAACAGTTCAATTTCTGTTTCATCAGACCAGAGGACATTTCTCAAAAAAGTACGATCTTTGTCCCCATGTGCAGTTGCAAACCGTAGTCTGGCTTTTTTATGGCGGTTTTGGAGCAGTGGCTTCTTCCTTGCTGAGCGGCCTTTCAGGTTATGTCGAGATAGGACTCGTTTTACTGTGGATATAGATACTTTTGTACCTGTTTCCTCCAGCATCTTCACAAGGTCCTTTGCTGTTCTGGGATTGATTTGCACTTTTCGCACCAAAGTACGTTCATCTCTAGGAGACAGAACGCGTCTCCTTCCTGAGCGGTATGACGGCTGCGTGGTCCCATGGTGTTTATACTTGCGTACTATTGTTTGTACAGATGAACGTGGTACCTTCAGGCGTTGGAAATTGCTCCCAAGGATGAACCAGACTTGTGGAGGTCTACAATATTTTTTCTGAGGTCTTGGCTGATTTCTTTTGATTTTCCCATGATGTCAAGCAAAGAGGCACTGAGTTTGAAGGTAGGCCTTGAAATACATCCACAGGTACACCTCCAATTGACTCAAATGATGTCAATTAGCCTATCAGAAGCTTCTAAAGCCATGACATCATTTTCTGGAATTTTCCAAGCTGTTTAAAGGCACAGTCAACATAGTGTATGTAAACTTCTGACCCACTGGAATTGTGATACAGTGAATTATAAGTGAAATAATCTGTCTGTAAACAATTGTTGGAAAAATTACTTGTGTCATGCACAAAGTAGATGTCCTAACCGACTTGCCAAAACTATAGTTTGTTAACAAGACATTTGTGTAGTGGTTGAAAAACAAGTTTTAATGACTCCAACCTAAAAGTATGTAAACTTCTGACCTCAACTGTATAAATGGTCCTTGATATGACCATCTTAAAAAAATTATATATGTTAGCTTAGACTTTAGAGTTAATGGCATGAGGAAGTTTTCATAAAAGCATTGCCTCCAAGTTTGGCTACTTTGAAGCAAGGTAAGACATTCTCATTATTTGAAGTAAAATGTTCAGATTTCAAACAATTATAGTTCCTCAAGCTCACATTGTAAAGTGTTGGGTGACACGCTGATAGCCTGCCTACCGTTGACTATAACATATGCTCTCGAATGGCGTGCTTTAATTTTGAGTTGAGATTGAGAAATAAAAATATAGCTTTTTAATCGTGGCCATAAAGTTTTTAACACAACATTGCATTTAGAATTGTTATTTGTTGCGCAATGACTGGGCTTAAAAAAGCTCATTTCACTGCAGTACCAGCTGTTTGAGGAGCTGCTCTCGCATGGTCTGACAGGTGATGGGCCATTCCGTTCCGCAAACTAGGCTCTGTATGCTGTGCGTGTGTGATAAATAAGATGCATGACAACTACCAAAAATACACGCGTCAATTCCACAATGTATGCAAATTAACCTATAGACCGATAAGCATGACCGGTCAAATGTATTTTTTAGCAACTAACCGATTTGAAAGGTTAACCGTTAACATCCCTATTTCAGCCCTAACGGACTTCATCGTCCTGTTGTGTAATGATATCACCTTGTGGTGCTAGTGTGTAGGTTTGAGAGGAATGGAGCTAAGGTTAAAGTAATACAGCGGAAAATAAATACCACCCAGCTTATCAAATAGCAAGATGAAGCTATCAATCACTACTGGGTATATTGATTAAACAGTACTTCAAATGTGACTTGCCTAGGTGCTAGAGGTTGATTTCGGCTCCCTCTGACTGTTTTGACTCTGGTTCTCCAGGCTTACTGACCCAATTCCCCCCCCCCCCCATCAGGTGGTGAATCTCCATGGGGGCCTGTCCATTGATAGCGTGGCCAGACTGGAGCTGGATACAGGAGAGGCTCTGGAGGCTCTCCACTGCTGTTTGGACCCCTCCATACTGTCTATCTTTGAGGACACACCCACAGGAGAGGTAAGGAGCCAAGGACAAAGGTCAAATCACACCCCGTTTCCTATATAGTACACTACTTTACTTTGGACCAGAGGCACATTTGGAGTAATTTTACTTTTTGCTAACTGTACAATAGTTCCAGCTTTTAACGGACTTGTCTGCTACTTAGCTGAATTATGTGAAATTTAACACCCCCAAAAAACGTCTCTCAGAATAAAGTTGGACTTGATGAGGAGAACCAGGCTACGCTGCTCACAGCTTTGACGGAGATCCTGGATAACGTGGACGATGAGAACCTATCCCACTTTGACACACTGCCAGACTCGGACCTACTGTCTGGCCAGAAAGACCGGGAACACTCGCCGGTGAGTCCCAACACACACCATACACATACAAACTGTGACCTTATCCCTGTTTGACATACTGCCCGACTCTGAACTATTATCAGGTCAGAAGGTGAGGGAACACACTCCGTGAGTTCCCAGCTGGTCCTGGCCAACGTGCAAACACACAGCTTGCACTAGGCTTGGGCAGTATACCGTATACCAGGGTATATGGAAATAGTCACAGAATGGTTTTTCAATACAGTTGAAACTTTTTAATATTTGTAGCTACTTAAGTAAATACCTGCAGTCAACTTCTGCAATATGTTAGAAGATAAAACAGACTGCGTTCTTAATTTCACCTGTCACATTAATTTACATTGTGAAGCTTACCATCTTTCCACTAGATGTTGGAACATTGCTGTGGGGACTTGCTTCCATTCAGCCACGAGCAATAGTGAGGTCGGGCACTGATGTTGGGTGATTTGGCCTGGCTCGCAGTCGGTGTTACAATTAATCCCAAATGTGTTCAATGGAGTTAAGGTCAGGGCTCTGTGCAGGCCAGTCAAGTTCTTCCACACCGATCTCGACCTTGCTTTGTGCATGGAGGTATTGTCATGCTGAAACAGGGAAGGGCCTTCCCCAACCTGTTGCCACATGTTGCCACAAAGTTGGAAGCACAGAATCGTGTAGAATGTCGTATGCTGTAGCGTTAAGATTTCCCTTCACTGGAACTAAGGGGCCTAGCGCGAACCATGAAAAACAGCCCAAGACCATTATTCCTCCTCCACCAAACTTTACAGTTGGCACTATGCATTGGGGCAGTTAGCGTTCTCCTGGCATCCGCCAAACCCAGATTTGTCCGTCAAACTGCCAGATGATGAAGCGTTATTCATCACTCCAGAGAACGTGTTTCCAATGGCGGCAAGGTTTACACCAGCCGGCGCTTGCCATTGCGCATGGTGATCTTAGGCTTGTGTGCGGCTGCTCGGCCATGGAAACCCATTTTCATGAAGCAACGGACGAAACAGTTATTGTGCTGACGTTACTTGCAGAGGCAGTTTGGAACTCTGTAGTGAGTGTTGCAACCGATGACAGATTACTTTTACGCGCTTCAGCACTAGGCGGTCCAGTTCTGTGAGCTTGTGTGGCCTACCACTTCGCAGCAGAGCTGTTGTTGCTCCTAGTCGTTTCCACTTCACAATAACTCTTACAGTTGACCGGGGCAGCTCTAGCAGGGCAGAAATATGATGAACTGACTTGTTGGAAAGGTGGCATCCTACGACGGTACGGACGTTCTACTGCCAGTGTTTGTCTATGGAGATTGCATGGCTGTGCTCGATTTTATACACCTGTCGGCAACGGGTGTGGCTGAAATAGCCGAATCCACTAATTTGAAGGGGTGTCCACATACTGTTTTGTGTGTATATGCATGCATGCATGCATACATACAGTGAGGGAAAAAAGTATTTGATCCCCTGCTGATTTTGTACGTTTGCCCACTGACAAAGAAATGATCAGTCTATAATTTTAATGGTAGGTTTATTTGAACAGTGACAGACAGAATAACAACAACAAAATCCAGAAAAACGCATGTCAAAAATGTTATAAATTGATTTGCATTTTAATGAGGGAAATAAGTATTTGACCCCCTCTCAATCAGAAAGATTTCTGGCTCCCAGGTGTCTTTTATACAGGTAACGAGCTGAGATTAGGAGCACACTCTTAAAGGGAGTGCTCCTAATCTCAGTTTGTTACCTGTATAAAATACACCTGTCCACAGAAGCAATCAATCAATCAGATTCCAAACTCTCCACCATGGCCAAGACCAAAGAGCTCTCAAAGGATGTCATGGACAAGATTGTAGACCTACACAAGGCTGGAATGGGCTACAAGACCATCGCCAAGCAGCTTGGTGAGAAGGTGACAACAGATGGTGCGATTATTCGCAAATGGAAGAAACACAAAAGAACTGTCTATCTCCCTCGGCCTGGGGCTCCATGCAAGATCTCACCTCGTGAAGTTGCAATGATCATGAGAACGGTGAGGAATCAGCCCAGAATTACACAGGAGGATCTTGTCAATGATCTCAAGGCAGCTGGGACCATAGTCACCAAGAAAACAATTGGTAATACACTATGCCGTGAAGAACTGAAATCCTGCAGCGCCCGCAAGGCCCTCCTGCTCAAGAAAGCACATATACAGGGCCGTCTGAAGTTTGTCAATGAACATCTGAATGATTCAGAGGAGAACTGGGTGAAAGTGTTGTGGTCAGATGAGACCAAAATCTAGCTCTTTGGCTTCAACTCAACTCGCCGTGTTTGGAGGAGGAATGCTGCCTATGACCCCAAGAACACCATCCCCACCGTCAAACATGGAGGTGGAAACATTATGCTTTGGGGGTGTTTTTCTGCTAAGGGGATAGGACAACTTCACCGCATCAAAGGGACGATGGACGGCGCCATGTACCGTCAAATCTTGGGTGAGATCCTCCTTCCCTCAGCCAGGGCATTGAAAAATGGGTCGTGGATGGTTATTCCAGCATGACAATGACCCAAAACACATGACCAAGGCAACAAAGGAGTGGCTCAAGAAGAGCACATTAAGGTCCTGGAGTGGCCTAGCCAGTCTCCAGACCTTAATCCCATAGAAAAGCTGTGGAGGGAGCTGAAGGTTCGAGTTGCCAAACGTCAGGCTCGAAACCTTAATGACTTGGAGAAGATCTGCAAAGAGGAGTGGGACAAAATCCCTCCTGAGATGTGTGCAAACCTGGTGGCCAACTACAAGAAACGTATGACCTCTGTGATTGCCAACAAGGGTTTTGCCACCAAGTACTAAGTCATGTTTTGCAGAGGGGTCAAATACTTATTTCCCTCATGAAAATGCAAATCAATTTATAACATTTTTGACATACGTTTTTCTGGATTTTTTTGTTATTCTGTCTCTCACTGTTCAAATAAACCTACCATTAAAATTATAGACTGATCATGTCTTTGTCAGTGGGCAAACGTACAAATCAGCAGGGGATCAAATACTTTTTTCCCTCACTGTATATGCGTGTGTGTGTATGTATGTATGTATATATATATATATATACACACACAGAGCGAGTTCTGGAAAAAGTTAAGAGACCACTGCAAATTATTCTTAAATCAGCATCTCTACATGTATTACAGCCATTCCATTCCAGTGTCTGTTGAATTCCAACACAGGCACACCTCATTCTACTGAATTAGGTACTGATTAGGTGATCACCTGAACCAAATCTTATTTAACGAGTAAAAGTATAAAAATCACTGCTGTGGTCATCACTATTCTCTTGCAATAATACCAGTTGGATGTCAAAATCAGTGCTAATAGTACCTCAAAAGTAATATTGATCAAAAAATAACTATTGACCATGCCAAAAGAGTTGAAAAGGAAAGTTCTGAGTGAGGAAAAGAAGGGTTCAATTCTGGCTTTACTGGCAGAGGGATACGAATGTCACTCAACAACCATAGGATGACATCAAGTGACCTACAAAAAGAATGGCAAACGGCAGCTGTGGTGAAGTGCACGGCAAGGACGGTTCGAAACAACCTCCTATGGGCAGGGCTGAAGTCGTACAAAGCTAGAAAAAAGCCCTTCATCAATGAGAAGCAAAGAAGAGCCAGGCTGAGGTTTGCAAAAGACCATAAGGATTGGACCGTAGAGGACTGGAGTAAGGTCATCTTCTCTGATGAGTCCAATTTTCAGCTTTGCCCAACACCTGGTTGTCTAATGGTTAGATGGAGACCTGGAGAGGCCTACAAGCCACAGTGTCTCGCACCCACTGTGAAATTTGGTGGAGGATCTGTGATGATCTGGGGGTGCTTCAGCAAGGCTGGAATTGGGCAGATTTGTCTTTGAAGGACGCATGAATCAAGCCACGTACAAGGTTGTCCTGGAAGAAAACTTGCTTCCTTTTGCTCTGACATTGTTCCCCAACTCTGAGGATTGGTTTTTCCAGCAGGACAATACACCATGCCACACAGCCAGGTCAATCAAGGTGTGGATGGAGGACCACCAGATCAAGACCCTGTCATGGCCAGCCCAATCTCCAGACCTGAACCCCATTGAAAACTTCTGGAATGTGATCAAGAGGAAGATGGATGGTCACAAGCCATCAAACAAAGCCGAGCTGCTTGACTTTTTGCACCAGGAGTGGCATAAAGTCACCCAACATCAATGTGAAAGACTGGTGGAGAGCATGCCAAGACACATGAAAGCTGTGATTGAAAATCAGGGTTATTCCACCAAATATTGATTTCTGAACTCTTCCTAAGTTAAAACATTAGTATTGTGTTGTTTAAAAATGAACATGAACATATTTCCTTTGCATTATTCAAGGTCTGACAACACTGCATATTTTTTGTTATTTTGACCAGTTGTCATTTTCTGCAAATTAATGCTCTAAATGACAATATTTGGGAGAAATAAAAATGCTATTCTTACCCAAACACATACCTATAAATAGTAAAACCAGAGAAACTGATCATTTTGCAGTGGTCTCTTAATCCTGTGTGAAAAATGAAGAATTCTGTGTTAACGTGACCCATAAGTTTAACTTGCTAGTTATCTAAGTGGCTGAATAATAAGGTGACGGGGCATCATATTGTGTTGGCTTTCTGCCATGTTTGAGAAGTCAAAGCAGTTTGGATAAGTTATCTGTACAGCTGCCACTGCTATCATTTGATTTCATTGTGTTTTTTTCTCCTGGCATCTTTGTTGCAGTTTTTTAGCTCACTGAGGACTAGCATTTCTTTAGGCTTTATATTTTTTTATATGCCATGTAGTAGTGTATATGTCTTAGTTAGTCACTTGGTGGCAGAAGGTTGGACACTGAGTATAATCTATTGGAGGCTGATGGACCCAACTTTAGGAAGCAGGGCTGTCAAAATGAATAGGCAACTGGAACTAATGACAACTTTTTATGCCTAAACTGTATTGTGTTGATTCACTGTTGTCCTATGTGTGATTGTAATGTTTGTTTCTTCTCATATTGTAGCTGAGGAGACTGCTGTGCTTGTCCCGCTCGCCTCCAGAGAGGGAGACACTCTGCAACACACGACAGTTCTCCACTGGAAAGGTAGCTCACCTGCTTTCACTACCACCCTGTTGTAAATGCATTCAACTGTATCACTCTAGTTATTTCGGTATTTTCATATTGACACGTACATATGATTTGAATCAAGACTTGAAGATTTCATAAGACGTATTGCTTTAAAGTGCAGACACAACAAATAGTGTAGCTGGTGAGAAAGTCTGCATATACAGGTGGTACAGCTACATTTTAAACCTCCAAGCTGAACGGAGAAAGCCCCAGACGTTGACCAGAGGTTTCCCCTCTCTATCTAGAGTCTCCCCAGGACACAGAAGTATGTCCAGAGGAGTGACGGAGAGGAGGAAGAGGACGCAGAGCAAAAGCTCCTGAACTGGGATGGCCTGAATCTGCCTCTCCCTCTGGAGCAGCACATGGAGGAAGAGGGCGAGGATGGAGAGAGCATGTCAATGAGTTTAGGAGAGCTGGTCAGACACATGCACCCCTACTGCATGGCCGTGTGCGTGGAGAATGGAGAAGAGGAAGAACAGATGCTGGCAGAGAATAGGGTACTGCTGGAGGTGGTGGACCAGGGAGAGCATGGAGAAACTATATTTGCCCTCCCAGATATGGGCCTCTCCCTCTGTCATCCCTCTTTCTCCCTGCCTGGAGTAGAAGACTTGTCCGAAGCGGAGCAGAGGATTCCTGATGAAGTTTTGGAGGCTGCCATTTTGGAGACGCCAGAGTCTGCGAATGATGATGACGTCGTAGTTGACGATGCCCCAGAAAAGGTGGCCGGCCCTTCTGATCCCGCCATGACCCTGAGGTCAGAGGCAAGGGGTGAGAAGGTCATCAACAGAAGACCAAAGGAGGAGACTGCAGAGAGATGTCCATTTCGAAGGAAAAGGAAACGGAAAAACAAAATGGAGAATTCACCTGCTGAGGTCATACCTGAACCTGACCAGGCAGAGGGGAGAGTCCTGAGGAGCGGGACTAATGGGAGAGCAGCCCAGGAATCCTTGCCCTGGAAGCCTGTCAAGGAGACAACCAAACCAGAGAAGAAGAAAAAGGACAAGAACGAGTCATTAACTTCCGCCATCTCATTAACGGCCGCCCCCGAGGCCCGAAAACACAAGATGAGAGTGACACACGCTGCCGAAACACAACGCGCACAGCGGCAGAGCCATGTGGAAGTCACCACCAAAACACTACCCACACAACCCAGCATTAAGGTCATCCCTGCCTCTGACCCTGTGTTAAAAGTAATGTCCTCTGACCTGTTGCCAATGACTATGACCCCCAAAAAGGTCCCCCCAGCTTCTGCAGCTAACCCAACAGCCTACCAGATGATGGACGCCCCCCAGGCAATGACAATCAACCCTCCCAGTGCCAACCCTGTATCAGTGGCCCCTCAGGCAACGATGCAGCCCAACGTTGCCCCTCTAGTCGCCCCCCAGGTGATCCCCCAGCTCACTGAGACCCCCCAGGCTATTGAACCCAAACCCAAGCCCCTGTCCCTCCAGCAGTACCGGCTGCTGCGCCAGCAGAAGAAACCGGCCTCCCTAGAGAGACTGGAGGACCCGAGCACCAAGTGGCCCATCCTCCTTGAGGCCCCTACAGAGCTGCCCCCCATCCCCTGCCTCCCCACCCCCTCCTACAGAGACCCCCATCGCCCCCACCCCTTCCCAGGGAAGAATGAAGTGGAGGAAGTGAAATCAGCCTGGCAGCCCATGGGACCAGGAGCACCTCCTACACCTGAAGCCCTGCTGGTGCCTCCTGCTTACATGCAGGCCTCCAAATCATATTCCCCTAGCAAGGTTGCTAGTCCAAATGCAGCCCTTACCACCCCTCCCCAGCAAGCGGCTGTTCCTACTCCACAGCCATCTAAAGCTAGCCAACTCCAGCCCCCAATCTCTGCTGTGCCTGCATCCAGTACTGTGAAGGTGGTACCACCCCAGACCCCCTCCACCAAGGCCCAGACCCCTTCTGTGAAGTGTTGTATACCCCAGGCCTCCCAGCCTGCACTCTCTAACCCCCTGCTCCAGTCTCAGCTACCCTCCTTGAAGCCTGTGGCCCTTATCAAATCTCTGAGCTCCAGTGGAGCCTCTTCTAAAACCACTACAGATGCCCACAGGCCCATCTTAATTGCTGCTATACCCCAAGAACCCACCCCCGTCGCTGTTACTGTACCCGAGAAAACTTTAAACCCCACCACCGCTGCTGCTGTTTCTGTCCAGAAACCTACCCCTGCTGCTCCTCTGAAGGTGGCTACTACTCTCCAGAAGGGAGTAGTTTCTCTGCCCCAGCCTAGGGTGCCTGAGCTGCCTACAGTTACTCCTGTGTCTACCCCAGCCAAGCCCTCCAACGCCCAGTCCTTCAAACCTCCAGTGAGGTGTTCTCCAGCCCAGGAGGACCCCAAAGCGAGTCCTACTCCGGAGCTGATGGAGGCCTTCACCAGTGAAATCGGTGAGGGGACATACCGGACATACTACTGAGCCTCTGGTTGCTTGGATGTTAGATTTGCCACATATCCTTAGAGCTATTTGAAGCATGTAAAGTGTTTTCTCCTGGCTGTAGTTGTTGTGGTGTATTGGTATAGTAGTGAGTGGTTGTTCTCTCTCACAGGTATTGAAGCTGCAGACCTCACCAGCCTGCTGGAGCAGTTTGAAGAGACGCAAGGTGAGTGATATGGACTCTGAGGTATTGACACTGGAGTTATCTCTGGCTGTAGGGGATAGTTTTTTTTTTTTTTTTTTTTTTTTTGCGAAATTTCTTCAGGGGTCGCCATTTATTTAACATATTTCATGTTTCTTTGACATTGCTGTTATTTCATCTATGATGAAGTACCGAAACATAGCATTTATGTTAGAAAACAACCAGGAATTCTGCATAAAAAGGCTGACTGTTTCCCGCTGAAATATAATCAATGTAACCCTTACTCCTATGGCATGCTAGTGGCCTAATGGTCTTGGTGTTGGCTAACATCTGTGTGACTTGGTGTTAGCTAACAGCTCAGTGGATCAGCTAGTTCAGTAGTACTAGACTAAATCTGGCCCCAGGATCACTTTCACTGGATTGTGTGATGGAGAAGTGGTGTGTAGGGTTGCAGAGCAGGGCTACGTCTGGCCATAATTGACTGATGAGATGGTTGGAGGAATTTAGTGCCAAGACTCCTAAGCTCCTTACGAAGTCGACGGCTGACCCAAGCATTTGGCTTTTGCAGGTCGATCTGGAACGTGCTCGTTGTCTTGTGTGTTTTGGTGCACGTTAGTAGCTTGGCGAAGCAGAGTTTGACGTGTTGGATTTTTTATTCATGGGTTATCTAAAAAGGGGTCTTCATACTGGAGAGACACAATTTCTTTGGTTCAGTGAGGATGCTGGTTAAGTCTTGGCATGTAGAAACATCCCATTATCAACTGTTCACATGTAAGGAGCAGTCTCAGCAGGTTGTCAGTCTGTCATTCCTGGAGGACTTTCTGTGTTTTTAGCCTAGTTTTCCATTCCAACACACTTTAAGGCAATTCAGAGTTCATTGTTCCTTGTTGGTTACATCAGATACTGTTTTATGATACAGTGTATATTCTGCACGTGAACATGGTGGTGACATTATCTAATCTAGCTACGTGCCCACCTCTTGCGTTAGAAAGCATTGGTTTTCAGATCCAAACATTGAGGTGGAAGTTGGGAACATGGGATATGGCTGTTTCAGGAGGTGGATTTTGAGAACAGTCTTCGCTTTTTAGTGACCTGTTGTCATGTATTAGCCCCAAGTGGGAAATTGGGTTAACATTTTCTACCATTACTACTTTAATGTGTGTGAAATCAAATTGTATTCGTCACATGTTTCGTAAACACAGGGTGTAGACTAACAGTGAAATGCTTATTTACAGGCCCTTCCCAACAATGCAGAGAAAGAAAACAATAGAGAAATAATATAAAAGTTATAACGTGTAATAATAAATACACAATGAGTAACGATAACTTGGTGGCTATATACAAGGGGTACCAGTACCGAGTCGATGTTCAGGGGTACAAGGTAATTTAGGTAGATGTGCACATATAACTAGGAATAGAGTCACTAGGCAACAGGATAGATAATAAGTAGCAGCAGTGTATGTGATGAGTCAAAAAAGTTTGTGCAAAAAGGGTCAATGCAGATAGTCCGGGTAGCTATTTGGCAGTCTTACGTCTTGTGGGTAGAAGTTGTTCAGGGTCCTGTTTGTTCCAGACTTGGTGCATCGGTACTGCTTGCCATGCAGTAGCAGAGAACAGTCTATGAGTAGGGTGGCTAGAGTCTGACAATTCTTTAGGGCCTTCCTCTGACACTGCCTGGTATAGAGGTCCTGGATGGCAGGGAGCTCAGCCCCAGTGATGTACTGGGCCATACACACTACCCTCTGTAGCGCCTTGCGATCGGATGCCAAGCAGTTGCCATACCAAGTGTTGATGCAGCCAGTCAAGATGCTCTCAATGGTGCAGCTGTATAACCTTTTGAGGATCTGAGGGCCCATGCCAAGTATTTTTAGCCTCCCGAGGGGGAAGAGGCATTGTCATTGCCATGATTGACCCTTAGTGATGTGGACACCGAGGAACTTTAAGCTCTCGACCTGCTCCACTACAGACCCGTCAATGTGAATGGTGGCGTGCTCGGCCCTCGTTTCTTGTAGTCCACGATCAGTTCCTTTTTGTCTTGCTGACATTAAGGGGGAGGTTGTTGTCCTGGCACCACACTGCCAGGTCTCTGACCTCCTCCCTATAGGCTATCATTGTCGTCAGTGATCAGGCCTACCACCATCGTGACATCAGCAAACGTAATGATGGTGTTGGAAGCGTGCACTGCCACGCAGTCGTGGGTGAACTGGGAGTATAGGAGGGGGACTAAGCACGCACCCCTGAGGGGCCCCTGTGTTGCGGGTCAGCATGGCAGATGTGTTGTTGCCTACCCTCACCACCTGAGGGTGGCCCGTCAGGAAGTCCAGGATCCAGTTGCAGAGGGAGGTGTCCCAGGGTCCTTAGCTTAATGATGAGCTTTGAGGGCACTATGGTGTTGAACGCTGAGCTGTAGTCAATGAACAGCATTCTCACATAGGTGTTCCTTTTGTCCAGGTGGGAAAGGGCAGTGGGGAGTACAATAGAGATTTCGTCATCTGTGGATCTGTTGGGGCAGTATACGAATTGGAGTGGGTCCAGGGTGTCTGGGATGATGGTGTTGATGTGAGCCATTTTATGGCGACAGATTAATGATTAGTTATTTAGACAGGTTACCTTGGCGTTCTTGGGCACAGGAACAATGGTGGTCTGCTTGAAACATGTAGGTATTACGGACAGGGTCAGGGAGAGTTAAAAAATTTCAGTGAAGACAATTGCAAGCTGGTCAGTACATGCTCAGAGTACGCGTCCTGGTAATCCATCTGGCCCTGCAGCCTTTTGAATGTTAACCTGTTTAAAGGTCTTACTCGCATAGGCTACAGCGAGCGTGATCACACAGTTGTCCGGAACAGCTGGTGCTCTCGTATGGAGGAAAAACCGTCCCTTGCCATAGGTTTTCAAGCAGATTTAAGTCAAAACTGTAACTCGGCCACTCAGGAACATTCACTGACTTCTTGGTAAGAAACTCCAGTGTAGATTTGGCTTTGTGTTGTAGGTTATTGTCCTGCTGAAAGGTGAATTAATCTCCCAGTGTCTGGTGGAAAGCAGACTGAACCAGGTTTTTGTCTAGGATCTTGCCTGTGCTTAGCTCCATTCCCTTTCTTTTTTATCCTGCAAAACTCCCCAGTCCTTAACGATTACAAGCATACACATAACATGATGCAGCCACCACTATGCTTGAAAATATGAAGAGTGGTACTCAGTAATTTGTTGTATTGGATTTCCCCCAAATATAACGCTTTGTATTCAGGACAAAAAGTGAATTGCTTTGCCACATTTTTTGCAGTATTACTTTAGTGCCTTGTTGCAAACAGGATGTACAGTGGGGAAAAAAAGTATTTAGTCAGCCACCAATTGTGCAAGTTCTCCCACTTAAAAAGATGAGAGGCCTGTAATTTTCATCATAGGTACACGTCAACTATGACGGACAAATTGAGATTTTCTTTCTCCAGAAAATCACATTGTAGGATTTTTTATGAATTTATTTGCAAATTATGGTGGAAAATAAGTATTTGGTCACCTACAAACAAGCAAGATATCTGGCTCTAACAGACCTGTAACTTCTTCTTTAAGAGGCTCCTCTGTCCTCCACTCGTTACCTGTATTAATGGCACCTGTTTGAACTTGTTATCAGTATAAAAGACACCTGTCCACAACCTCAAACAGTCACACTCCAAACTCCACTAGGGCCAAGACCAAAGAGCTTTCAAAGGACACCAGAAACAAAATTGTAGACCTGCACCAGGCTGGGAAGACTGAATCTGCAATAGGTAAGCAGCTTGGTTTGAAGAAATCAACTGTGGGAGCAATTATTAGGAAATGGAAGACATACAAGACCACTGATAATCTCCCTCGATCTGGAGCTCCACACAAGATCTCACCCCGTGGGGTCAAAATGATCACAAGAACGGTGAGCAAAAATCCCAGAACCACATGGGGGGACCTAGTGAATGACCTGCAGAGAGCTGGGACCAAAGTAACAAAGCCTACCATCAGTAACACACTACGCCGCCAGGGACTCAAATCCTGCAGTGCCAGACGTGTCCCCCTGCTTAAGCCAGTACATGTCCAGGCCCGTCTGAAGTTTGCTAGAGTGCATTTGGATGATCCAGAAGAGGATTGGGAGAATGTCATATGGTCAGATGAAACCAAAATATAACTTTTTGGTAAAAACTCAACTCGTCGTGTTTGGAGGACAAAGAATGCTGAGTTGCATCCAAAGAACACCATACCTACTGTGAAGCATGGGGGTGGAAACATCATGCTTTGGGGCTGTTTTTCTGCAAAGGGACCAGGACGACTGATCCGTGTAAAGAAAGAATGAATGGGGCCATGTATCGTGAGATTTTGAGTGAAAACCTCCTTCCATCAGCAAGGGTATTGAAGATGAAACGTGGCTGGGTCTTTCAGCATGACAATGATCCCAAACACACCACCCGGGCAACGAAGGAGTGGCTTCGTAAGAAGCATTTCAAGGTCCTGGAGTGGCCTAGCCTGTCTCCAGATCTCAACCCCATAGAAAATCTTTGGAGGGAGTTGAAAGTCCGTGTTGCCCAGCGACAGCCCCAAAACATCACTGCTCTAGAGGAGATCTGCATGGAGGAATGGGCCAAAATACCAGCAACAGTGTGTGAAAACCTTGTGAAGACTTACAGAAAACGTTTGACCTGTGTCATTGCCAACAAAGGGTATATAACAAAGTATTGAGAAACTTTTGTTATTGACCAAATACTTATTTTCCACCATAATTTGCAAATAAATTCATTAAAAATCCTTCAATGTGATTTTCTGGAATTTGTTTTCTCATTTTGTCTGTCATAGTTGACGTGTACCTATAATGAAAATTACAGGCCTCTCTCATCTTTTTAAGTGGGAGAACTTGCACAATTGGTGGCTGACTAAATACTTTTTTTCCCCCACTGTATGTTTTGGAATATTTTGTGTTCTGTACAGGCTTCCTTCTTTTCAATCTGTCAATTAGGTTAGTATTGTGGAGTAACTACAATGTTGATGATCCATCCTCCATCACAGCCATTAAACTCTGTAACTGTTTTTAAGTCACCATTGGCCTCATGGTGAAATCCCTGAGCGGTTTCCTTCCTCTCCAGCAACTGAGTTAGGAAGGACGCCTGTATCTTTGTAGTGACTGGGTGTATTGATACACCATCCAAAGTGTCATTGATAACTTCACCACGCTCAAAAGGATATTCAATGTCTGCTTTTTCAATTTTTACCCATCTACCAATAGGTGCCCTTCTTTGCGAGGCATTGGAAAACCTCCCTGGTCTTTGTGGTTGAATCTGTGTTTGAAATTCACTGCTCGACTGAGGTACCTTACTGATAATTGTATGTGTTGGGTACAGAGATGAGGTAGTAATTCAAAAATCATGTTAAACACTATTATTGCACACAGAGTCCATGCAACTTATTATGTGGCTTGTTAAGCAAACGTTTACTCCTGAACTTATTTAGGCTTGCCATAACAAAGGGGTTGAATACTTAGTGACTCAAGACATTTCAACTTTTCATTTGTTATTAATTTGTAAAACATTTGAAAAACATAATTCCACTTTGACATTATGAGGTATTGTGTGTAGGCCAGTGACACAAAATCTCAATTTAATAAATTTTAAATTCAGGCTGTAACACAACAAAATGTGGCAAAAGTCAGGGGTGTGAATACTTTCTGAAGGCACTGTATGTGCAACAAGTCATCTCTCTCTCTCTCTCTCTCTCTCTCTCTCTCTCTCTCTCTCTCTCTCTCTCTCTCTCTCTCTCTCTCTCTCTCTCTCTCTCTCTCTCTCTCTCTCTCTCTCTCTCTCTCTCTCTCTCTCTCTCTCTCTCTCTCTCTCTCTCTCTCTCTCTCTGAACAGTAATTCTTCCCTCAGATTATGCATGTATGAACTAGACATTGAAGCATCCAGCCCAAAGTGAGAGGTTTAAAAAATACTTTCTTAGTCACCAAAGTACCATGTCTTTAAACATTTGGTTTCCAGGGGGGCAGTGCGGGCCATGAGGAAGGCCAAAAAGTGTCTCACTCCCTGGGTCAGAAAGCTCATAATTAGCTGGGTCATCGCAAGCACCAGCTGCAGTGTAGATACTACCATGACCTGGTAGTATATGAGGAGCTGTAGGTCACGGGGGCATTTGCCAAAGTCGTAGGAGAAAGCAGTTTAGGGACAGGGACAGCACGTCAAACTAATTGCCAAATGTATCCAAAGAGATGAATTAATGAATTATCTGAATTAATGAATACAATGAGGAGCAGGTTACAACATTCTGGAACACGTGATGTTATAATCAGATTCTTCTATTACATCATGTTGGGTCCATATCTTGTGTATGTTTGACAGTGAACAGTAAACCCAATTCACTTTTACAAAGCACAGCTAGCCAACTAGTAGTTTGACTTGTAATTTGTACTGCCTACTTTTGAAAGACGATTTCTTTAATCAAAATGGCACAGCTCTCCCAGAAGGGTGGGCTGTGCAACATGAAGATGTTATTGTTGGCTGTTATTTCCCTATGAATGTGTTGTTGGACAATGGTAACCGTGCTACCCTACCCCCTTCCTCCATCCCTTGCTTTTACTCATTCTTTCTCTTCCCCCTCTCTCCAGCTAAAGAGGAGCAGTGTGTTCCGGAGGTCTCTGGTAGAGCAGCCGCTGTAGGAAACTCTAGGTGAGTTACCCAACAGCCCCATTCTGTGTGTATGGAGAGCCTTCGCCAAGACCTACCGAAGACCTTACTTCTGACCCCACAATCGGCCAAGCACTCCACCATTTATTTGTGTGTGGCATTTTCAATGTTTTTTTTTTCAGCAGTTCCAAAATGTTCTACTGTCCTCATCTGTGTGATTTCTAGACTAAGCCATAGGCTCCTCTTAGAAGTGTGTACATGTTCAATAAAGCGGTGTGTTTGTTTCTATCGTAGTGTGGCGCAGCCATTTGACAGGACCACTGTGGAGAGAGTCCGAGCACATGACCTGACCAGCACTGCAGGTACGAACTACTGTACACACACACCGGTCACCCTGTTAGCTGCTAATGTACAGTGCTTATGCTAATCACACACTACTATTACTAGTCATACACCAATCAAATGTTAATTGTACACTGCTAATTAACTGCTAATACTAGTCATACACCAATTGCCCGGTACCCTGCAAATGCAAATCACACACCGCTAATGCTAATCACATACCAATCACCCTGTACATTGCTAATGCTAATAATACACTGCTAACATACTAAAAACATGGCAGAGGTTTACAGCGCTAACCAAAATCACGCTGATACACAATGGAGTAAATGAAAAGTTGGAACACTTGCCTGTTTCTCTCGATAAAATGCTTGATATCCATTATTGCCTTACGAAATCTACCTTCAAATGGCGGACAGAGGAATTCTGCTTCAGATTGAACAGTAGCTGACTACTCCGTTCCGTTCTCTTCCCAGGTCTGACCCCTCCAGCTACCCCTCCTCACCAGATGTGGAAGCCCCTGGTTCCCGTTGCCCTCCTTGGGAAGAGCCGAGCCATTGAGGCCCCCAAACCATCGCCCTCCAAGGCCATCCAGATCGACGCACGGCCCCTGCCCTCCAACAAGTTCCGGAGCAAGCCCCCCAGCCCCGCTATAACTCCCAACCCAGTATCTCTCACCCTGGCCTTCTCAGACCACGACTACTCCCTCCCTGAGAAGGAGCCCATGGCTATTGCAGGAGAGCCAGGCAAGCGCTGGAATGTCAAACAGCAAGCAGCCATCACCATCAAGACCATCGAGCCACTTAGCAGCAACACAACCAGGGCACCCCAGAGGATCCCTTCCCCCTCCCTCCAAACCCTCACAACTGCCCTGGGTACGAAGACCCAGCAGGCCCCACTAGTTCCCCAGCCCCTGGATGTAAGGACTGACAGGACTAGCTCTGTGCTGGAGACCCCTGATGCCTCTCCCACCAGGCTGAAGGACCAGGCTGGTCCCCTGGAGAGGAGTCTCAAGAAAGGGAGGTCTTCCCGGGGCTACAATACTACCTTCTCCCCCAGGCCTAGCCCCAGCCCCAGGGAAGCAAAGCGAGGAAGGGAGAGTAAAAGGAGAATCCACTGTTCCTCCAGCCCTGGCTCTACTGGCTCGGAGTCAGACTCTCACTCCTCTTCTCCGTCTAGATCTCGCTCTCCACCCAGGAAGAGGTGAGATGCTCATCCCCTCTTTATTTCTGTCTTAAAAGCTATCCCCCCCCTGTCACTGGGCAAGGCGGTGTCCTCTAATGGCACTGAGTCTTATATCTGGCAGGGGGAGAGCGAATGTCCATATTCATCCCAGTCATCTCTATTCAGTGAAGAAAAAGGCTGGTTCATGCTATGGGCACAGATGTATAGTAGTTGTATCTCATTTGAGAATAATCTCTGTCCTCCCCCATCTGCTACCAATGTAGCAATCATCAAGGTGATGTCATTGGCTTAAACCAATATGACTAATGGCGATATCCAGTCTGTCCTAATCTGACATCACTGACAGATTCCCTTCTTCCATCCCTTCCCTCTCTCCTCCAGGTACAGGCCTCGTCACTCTGAGAGCAGCTCCAGTGCCTCGTCTTGCTCCTCCCGCTCCTCCTCTCCTTCCCTGGCCCACTTTCCGAGGCACCGGCGATATTCCTACTCCTCTTCCCGATCAGGATCCTGGAGTAGGTCCCGTTCCCGCTCTCCCCACAGACGGGCGTGGAGCAGAGGCAGCAGACAACGCAGGTAATTAAAGCACTTTCCTCATAAACATTTTTTCCATGGTATTGGTCAATTCTGACTTTTGAAATTAACCACAAATGCATGCATGCAGTGCAGTCAGATCAGTGCATGTCCTTCTGACTACTTTGGACAGGATAACATCACAGGATAAGTATTCAGACACTTTACTCAGTATTTTGTTGAAGCACCTTTGGCAGCGATTACAGCCTCACGTCTTCTTGGGTATGACGCTACAAGCTTGGCACACCTGTATTTGGGGAGTTTCTCCCATTCTTCTCTGCAGATCCTCAAGGTCTGTCAGGTTGGATGGGGAGCGTCACTGCACAGCTATTTTCAGGTCTCTCCAGAGATGTTAGATCTGGGCTCTGGCTGGGCCACTCAAGGACATTCAGAGACTTGTCCCTGAAGCCACTCCTGCGTTGTCTTGGCTGTGTGCTTATGGTCATCATGTTGGAAGGTGAACCTTTGCCCCAGTCTGAGGTCCTGAATGCTCTGGAGCAGATATACATCAAGGATCTCTCTGTACTTGGCTCTGTTAATCTTTCCCTTGATCCTGACTAGTGTCCCAGTCCCTGCCGCTGAAAAACATTGCCACCACCATGCTTCACCGTAGGGATGGTGCCAGGTATCCTCCAGACGTGAAGCTTGGCATTCAGGCCAATGAGTTCAATCTTGGTTTTGTCAGACTAGAGATTCTTGTTTCTCATGGTCTGAGAGTCCTTTAGGTGCCTTTTGGCAAACTCCAAGCAGGCTGTCATGAAGCCTTTTACTGAGCAGTGGCTTCCGCCTGGCCACTCTACCATAAAGGCCTGATTGGTGGAGTGCTGCAGAGATGGTGGTCCTTCTGGAAGGTTCTCCCATCTCCACAGAGGAACTCTGGAGCTCTGTCAGTGACCATCGGGTTCTTGGTCACCTCCCTGACCAAGGCCCTTCTCCCCTGATTGCTCAGTTTGGCCGGGCGGCCAGCTCTAGGAAGAGTCTTGGTGGTTCCAAACTTCTTCCATTCAAGAATGATTGAGGCCACGGTGTTCTTGGGGACCTTCAATGCTGCAGACATTTTTTAGTACCCTTCCCCAGATCTGTGCCTCGACACAATCCTGTCTTGGAGCTCTACGGACAATTCCTTCGACCTCATGGCTTGGTTTTTGGTCTGACATGCACTGTCAACTGTGGGACCTTATATAGACAGGTGTGTGCCTTTCCAAATCATGTCCAATCAATCAAATTTAGCACAGGTGGACTTCAATCAAGTTGTAGAAATATCTCAAGGATGAGCAATGGAAACAGGATGCACCGGAGCTCAATTTGAGTCTCATAGCAAAGGGTCTGAGTACTTATGTAAATAAGTTATTTCTGTTTTCTATTTGTAATATATTTGCAAAAATTTCTACAAACATGTTTTTGCTTTGTCGTTATGGGGTATTGTGTGTAGATTTGATGTTTTATTTAATTAATTTTAGAATAAGGCTGTAAAGTAACAATGTGAAGTGGTCTGAATACTTTCCGAATGCACTGTAATTTAGCTTCATGGATACAGATGTTTTAATGATTTAACATTGACCACGTCTCTTATTCCGTTTCTTCCCACAGCCCCTCTTTCAGAGCAGTCTACCGGCCTGAATCTAGAGAAAACATTGAGGTGGTGAAGAGACTCAAAGAGAAAGCTATCGTGAGTACATACTTTTCTATCAAAGTGAAGTTGGCGATTGTGCCTTTTTCAGGGATTTCTGCCGTCTGGGCCAAGTAGTAACCTCTATAAGAGGCGTCTGCTCTTCAGTGATGATGAGTTGGAACAGGACACAGTCTGTCTCTGGGGGTCACTGGGTCAAGGTCACGTTCTGTGTCTCTGGGTTCAGTTCCCCAGAGCAGTGTGTTCTTTTCAGTTGATGACCGATGCATTTGTCTGAGAAGGGCCCCCCTTGAAATAAAGGGGGGGGGAGAGTGTATGTTTTATTGAAGCCAATAGTTCCTTGAATGATACTGCGTGTGTTCTTGCGTGTGTGGTGCAGAAAATTGTCAGCTTACTAATGCCGTTCTCTCTCTCCCCTTAGGAGGAGCGTAGGGTTGTTTACGTAGGGCGAATCCGAGAGACAATGACTCGTAAAGAGCTGAAGGAACGCTTCTCTCTGTACGGAGAGATTGAGGAGTGCACTCTACATTTTAGAGGCCATGGGTAAGTACTCTCAAACACCGGTCATGTTTTGTTAAAATAACGAGTAATACCTAAAACCTGTTCAGTAGGCACGATATGGAAAACATTTTGAAACCAAAAACGATTGTATTGAAAAGTAAATCTTACCTAGGGCTGTTACCTCCACACCGGCAGTCACGAGTCATGATTCAGTCAAATTCCACGTGACCGTTGAGTCACGGTAATGAGGCTTCTCCAAAACTGCGCTCTAATGCTGCTGTTGGCAATTAGCAGCCTACCAAACTTGCTAACTGCCAGTCGCTAATGGCCTTGTACTCAATATTTATTGTCCCTCTAATCACGCTGACATCAATGCAAATGCAATGGAAAATCAAATCAAACATATTCATGAGAGCCCTGGCATTGAGTTTGAGCGGAATAGGATCACCTGTTGTGTAGCGAGAGCCAGCTCCTCATAGCTGGTTGATGCATGCAATTAAATAAGTGGTCCTATAAGCCCATGTTGTGCAACATTTATATAGGGTATGCAATTGCGTGAGAACAGTTTTGATGGCCTCTATTAAATAGAGGATCCCATTAGCTTTCTATAGGCTAGGCCTACTATATTTATTTCTCAACTTTCCTAATGTTGATAATATTAAGCACAACCATAGTAGCCTACCTTGCTGGCATGAAAATTAACCGCGGCAAAATGTCCTCCATTCGCTATTCAAGTGCATACGGATGACATGTCTTTGTTTTGCCCCTGTTCCGACAGGTGCATAATGGCCCATTCTAAATCAAATGTAATTTCACACATAATATTGAGTATATGTAAAGATTAAATTGAATAGTCTGATGGGTGAGAATATTATCACTTGTGAATTATGCCCAGTAAGGCAAACTGCTCAATCATTTTTTTAAACGACTTTTTAAAACGAAAGTTGCATCATGTAGCCTAGCCCATAGGCCTATGTTTTGATAAGGTTTGTATCACAACTAAAGTGGCCAAATAACTCTAAGCGTGGCCTGTAGGCCTAGGACCTCTGGAACAGGGTTTGAGAGCCCATAGCTTACAGAGCCCAGGGAAGTGTGTTCTTATAAGTCATTGCGCAATTGCGTGTGAAAAGTGTTTTGACTGCTCACTATTTAAGAGGATCCCAGCTTTCTCGTCCTGCTATATTTATTGCTAAATTCTTAAAATTAAGCACATTAATCCGCTTTACGACCGGTGAAGCCTACTTGGCATATTAAAAACATAACAGCACATATTCGCTATTCGAGTGCAGGCTACAGATGACTTTTTTTGTGGGCCATTCTAAATAAGAAATAATCACACACATATTAGTAGGTTATAAGTAAAGATTAAATTGAGAATAGTCTGATGGGTGAGAATATTATCAAGTGCTTGTCAAATTGCGAATGAGACTGATGAAGCGTGTGCAGCCTGCACAAGAAACAGAGAAGAGCGCATGCGTTTTTAATGTGACTTTTTCAAATCATCATTGGTCGCGTCATGCAGCCTTAGAATGTATTAGAAATCAAAACGCATAGCCTAAGGTTTGTATCACAACTAAAGTACCATAGATAATTATAAATTAAGCATATAGGAGATTCTGTTTCAAACACAGAATAGCGGCATGTGCGCACTCCCATGGAAATCATTTGGGGAAAAATATCCTTGTTGTATTCTTCTTACTATAAAATAATGTCACGGGAATTATAAGCAAATCTTGTCAGCTAAATAAACTAGTGTAGCCCACAGCCACATGACATAGCAAGAGTAGAGCCTAACATAAGGACGACTCAGAATATGCTATTCTGTTCTTATAAAATGGGCTACATTTTCTTCATGTTTCTTTAAACCTGCCTAAAATGAAAAATGGATTTATTGTGATGGTGTAGGCTATATTTAATGGTTTTATTGGAGGAAAAAAAATGTATTTGTACCAAAGGTCAGCATTAGTGGCTTGTAGGCTATGCGTGGAAGCCTGGATATGCTAAACGTGTTTATGTTAATTAACGGTAAATTACCGTAAGACCAGCAGTTATTTGCATGACGGTTACCGGCTGACGAAATTGAATGTCCGCCACAGCCCTAGTCTTACCACCTCCATCGCTAAACATTTTGTTAGCCGGTAACCTGGTTTTGTGCTTACTGAAAACAACTTGAAGACACATTTTCTTCCCATACCCAGAGCTAACACCTGGGCTTTACATTTACATTTACTACAGCAACAACCAGGCTTGTTTATAAGTGGGGCCCCTTGGCTAAACCACCAGGTGGCTCTTTTAAGAATTCACACCTCAACACCATCTAGTAGTGTTCATGTCACCAAACAGAATAAAACCGACCAACAGGGAGGGACTACCTTTGTATTTTAAAATGTCTTCCATTTTGTGCCATAATGAATCAACCCTCTTGACTCCTGCATGTTTAACATTTGCTATTCAATCTCTGTGACAGGGATAACTATGGATTTGTGACCTACTACGATACGAAGGATGCGTTCACGGCCATCGAGAACGGCGGCAAGCTCCGTAAGCCTGACGAACTCCCCTTTGATCTCTGCTTTGGAGGAAGGAGACAGTTCTGCAAGACGAGCTACGCTGATCTAGGTAAGACAGGGTTTATGGAAATAATTTGTATAAATAATGAATGCCATTTTTTGGTTGTCAACACTGGTACTAGTTGTCAGTATTAAGATACAATTATCATATTTTTATATTATTGGACTGTCAACTTTCTTGGTATACTTCTACATCTGATTGCAGTGATGCAAGGATAGCTAGCAATGGTTCCCTAAAAAATCCCGCAGGTGATGCTAATTAGGGTTGGACAGTATCCAGATTTCCATACTTACCGTTCCTGTACCATACCAGGGTATACGGTATTACTGGCAGTGCAAACAAGGGCCGCTACTTATTTAGCAAAAAATGCTAACTAAGTACTAGCGAATTCCCATAGCGGATGCTAGCTAAATGCGAACAAACTAGTTGCAAGGACAGACCACCAAGCTCAAAGTTGTATAACTATCTCAAAAGGGTACTCACACTTTGATTCTCTACTCTAACCAAGAAGCTTGATCTTGCAAGCTATAGGTGGCTAGCTAGCACGTTAGCAAACCAAATGCATAGCTGGAGCTCTGGGCCTGGTTTCCCAAAAGCTTTTTAAGACTAAGTTCGTTAGAACCTTTGTAGGAGCATGCTTAATCTCTGAGCTGTTTCCCAAAACCATCATTTATAAAGTTGCACTTAAACTTATTTACCAGCTACCTCAGACCACTCATAGGACAGCTAAGTGCGTCAATAGATCAGTTTTTTTCATAACTTTTCTACACATCTCCGCTAAAAATATAATCAAGATGTTTATCTGTCTCTTTTACCGCTGATAACTTCACAATGAAGTTGACTACAAATACGAAGTTGCCAATGTCTTTGCAGTTGTTACAAACAAGGAGGGATGGGGGTTTGAAATAATTTCACTATTTGAATAGTATCATTCATTTTTGTCATATCCGGATATTCGAAATGCAGTGCATTCAAAAAGTATTCAAACCACTTGACTTTTTCCATATTTTGTTGGTACAGCCTAAATTTTATATAGATTCAATTTAGATTTTGTCACTGGCCAACACACAATACCCCATAAAGTCAAAGTGGAATTATGTTTTTAGACATTTTTACAAGTTAAATTAAAGCTGAAATATCTTGAGTCAAGTATTCAACCCCTTTGTTATGGCAAGCCTAAATAAGTTCAGGAGTAAAAATGTGCTTAAGTTTTATGGACTCACTGTGTGCAATAATAGTGTTTAACATGATTTTGGAATGATTACTCTATACCCCACACATACAATTATCTGTAAAGTCTCTCAGTCGAGCAGTGAATTTCAAACACAGATTGATCCACAAAGACCAGGGAGGTTTTCCAATAAAACAGACATTGAATATCCATTTGAGCATAGAAATTCATAGTGGGTACTTCAAAATACCCCGGTATACAGTATACCGCCTAATACTAATGTTCTTTCTCTTTTCCCTCCTCCAGATTCTAACCGCGAGTATGACCCATCGCCCGTGACTGGCAAGTTTGATGCCCTTGACTTTGACACTTTACTGAAGCAGGCCCAGAAGAGGTAACAGAGGTCAGCCCACTGGGGGCACCATGCTAAGACTAACCTCAGAGCCGTCGGCAGGCTCCTCCCACCTTCATCGTTGGCTTCGCCTTGACCGAGGGGTGGATCACAACGAACGGTCCATACGTTAGCCAGCTAACATTTTTAATAAACATGCAGATATAGATATTTTCTGGTTCATAGAAAAGCTACAGTTTTAAAGCTGCAATCAGAAAAACTATGAATTAATAGAACCTTACATTTTGGGTTAAGGCATTGTACGAAGCTAATAAGGCATAGTTATATTCAAGAGTCAAATGTAATCGATGTCATTGATTGAAGCAATATCATATCTGAATCATTAATCAAACAGTTGAATTGAGGAAGTCTGCCGTTTTTAATATGGGTTGTTTAAGTGTGAAATAATGTATGCCATGTTCATTTCAAGCCTGTATCTTAATGAACTCTGAAATTTTATTTCTGAATGTTTCCACATGTTAGCTGGCTAACACATTCTCCTGCTTTGTGATATACAGTGCATTCGGACACCTTGACTTTTTCCACATTTTGTTACATTACAGCCTTATTCTAAAAGTGATTCGATTTGTTTTTTTCCCCTCAATCTACACACACTACCCCATAATCACAAAGCAAAAACAGGTTTTTGAAAATTCTGAAAATGTATTAAAAATTAAAAAACGGATCACCTTTACATAAGTATTCAGACCCTTTACTCAGTACTTTGTTGAAGCCCATTGGCAGCGATTACAGCCTCGAGTCTTCTTGGGTATGACTCTACAAGCTTGGCACACCTTTATTTGGGGAGTTTCTCCCATTCTTCTCTGCAGATCCGGACTCTGGCTGGACATTCAGAGACTTGTCCCGAAGCCACTCCTCCGTTGTCTTGGCTGTGTGCTTAGGGTCGTTGTCCTGTTGCAAGGTGAACCTTCGCCCCGGTCCTGAGCAGGTTTTCATCAAGGATCTCGCTGTACTTTGCTCCGTTCATCTTTCCCTCAATCCTGACTAGTCTCCCAGTACCTACCACTGAAAGACATCCCCACAGCATGATGCTGCCACCACCATGGTTCCCCGAAGGGATTGTGCCAGGTTTCCTCCAAACGTGAAGCTTGGCTTTCAGGCCAAAGAGTTCAATCTTGGTTTCATCAGGCCAAAGAATCTTGTTTCTCATGGTCTGAGAGTCCTTTAGGTGCCTTTTTGCAAAAGCCAAGCGGGCTGTCGTGCCTTTTACTAAGGAGTGGCTTCCGTCTGGGCACTCTACCATAAAGGCCTGATTGGTGAAGTGCTGCAGAGATGGTTGTCCATCTGGAAGGTTCTCCTATCTCCACAGAGGAACTCTGTCAGAGTGACCATCGGGTTCTTGGTCACCTCCCTGACCAACCCCTTCTCCCCCGATTGCTCAGTTTGGCCAGGTGGCCAGCTCTAGGAAGAGTCTTGGTGGTTCCAAACTTCTTCCATTTAAGAATGATGGAGGCCACTGTGTTCTTGGGGACCTTCAATGCTGCAGAAATGTTTTGGTACCCTTTTCCAGATCTGTGCCTCAACACAATCCTGTCTCTGAGCTCTACAGACAATTCCTTCGACCTCATGGCTTGGTTTTTGCTCTGACATGCACTGTCAACTGTGGGACCTTTATATAGATAGGTGTGTGCCTTTCCAAATCATGTCCAATCAATTGGATTTACCACAGGTGGACTCCAATCAAGTTGTAGAAACAGGATGCACTTGAGCTCAATTTGAGTCTCATAGCAAAGGGTCTGAAGACTTATGTAAATAAGGTATCAGTTATTTATTTATACATTTGCTTTGTCATTATTGGGTATTGTGTGTCGATTTGATGATGGTTAACATTTTAATCCATTTTTAGAATAAGACTAACGTAACAATGTGGAAAAAGTAAAGGGTTCTGAATACTTTCAGAATGCGCTGTAGCTACCCATCTTTATTTTAGTTTCGTTTTTGTTTCTGCAAGCTTACACCTTCTATTGAAGTGAAGATTTGTATGAAAAGATTAAAAGCAACAAAAAAAATGTAAAGGAAATGAGAAATTATGATTTAATAGCAAACTTATTTAAATGTATAATTGGATTTACCACAATGTATGTTTAAAAAATGGAAAAGACGTTGAAGTGAATATTCCCTGATATCTGGGAGACGGTGGAACTACATTGCTGAAATGTACTGCAAACCTAAATAAACCTTATACTCAAAACATTAACCAGTTTATCACTGACTGACGAGACCTGTGAATCAGTGGAGGGTCCTCAGAGGTAGGGGAGGACCATCCTCAGTGAATTTCATAAAAATATTAAAACATTTATCCTTTTTAGATAACTATACTAAATATATTCACGACACAATAATTGATTTAAAATGCTGTTTTTCAATAAATGCCTACAGTAGCCTCAACAGCACTCAGGAGGGTAGCGCCATGGTGGAGCCGGAGGACAGGTACGTTGACTTAAATACAAAACATAGGAGGCTCATGGATCTCACCCCCTTCCATAGACTAACACAGTAATTATAACTTCCGGAGGACATCCTCCAACCTATCAGAGGTTTTGCAGCATGATCTGACATGTCCACCCAATCAAAGGATCAGAGAATGGATCTATACTGAACAAAAATATAAATGCAACAATTTCAGAAGATATTAGAGTTACAGTTCATATAAGGAAATCAGGCAATTGAAATCAATTCATTAGGCCCTAATCTATGAATTTCACATGACTGGGAATACAGATATTAATCTGTTGGTCACAGATACCGTGAAATAAATAAATAGGGGCGTGGATCAGAAAACCAGTCAGTATCTGGTGTAACCACCATTTGCATAGAGTTGATCTGGCTGCCGATTGTTGTCCCACTCCTCTTCAATGGCTTTGCGAAGTGGCTGGATATTGGTGGGAACTGGAACACTGTCATACACGTCGATCCAGAGCATCCCAAACGTGCTCAACGGGTGATGTTTGGTGAGTATGCAGGCCATGGAAGAACTGGGACATTTTTTTAGCTTCCAGGAATTGTGTACAGATCCTTGCGACAAGGGGCCTTGCATTATCATGCTGAAATACGAGTTGGGCCTCAGGATCTCATCACGGTATCTCCTGTTGAATGTTCTGATACAGAGCAGAATTCTTGGTTCCTTAAATTAGGGCATGTCATCCAGGTCCTGAGGAAGCAAAGCGTCCCCAAACCATCACACTACCACCACCATGCTTGACCGTTGGTATGAGGTTCTTACTGTGGAATGCAGTGTTTGGTTTTCGGCAGGCATAATGGGACCCATGTCATCCAAGAAGTTTACTCAAGTTTGCCAAAAAGCACCTGGATGATCATCAAGATTCTTGGAAGAATGTTCTATGGACAGATGATTCAAAAGTATACCTTTTTGTATGACATAGATCCCGAGTGGCACAGTGGTCTAAGGCACTGCATTGCAGTGCTAGCTGTGCTACTAGAGATCCTGGTTCGAATCCAGGCTCTGTCGTAGCCGGCCGCGACCGGGAGACCCATGGGGCGGCACACAATTGGCCCAGCATCGTCCAGGGTAGGGGAGGGAATGGCCAGCAGGGATGTAGCTCAGTTGGTAGAGCATGGCGTTTGCAACGCCAGGGTTGTTGGTTCGATTCCCACGGGTAGCCAGTATGAAAAAATATAAAAAATAATGTATTCACTCACTAACTGTAAGTCGCTCTGGATAAGAGCGTCTGCTAAATTACTAAAATGTAAAATGACATGGGTCCCATTATGAATCTACATGGAGAGCTAGGCAGTTCAAGCCCCCTTTGGTGCTGCCATAGATTTACGTTAGAAGTGCCCATTCAAGAAGGCTCAAGGTCATTGGCCACAGATAAAATGATGTTATATCTACCGTAGCTGTGATTAGACTGATCATGTCAACATCATACTTTCAAAAGCTTAGCTAGCAAGCTAGACAAGTAGTCCTCATCATGAATCATGTCGACAATCTACTGGCAAATTCTTTTCAATCCTTGTCATATGAAGAGAAATTATAGATAGAACGTATCGGTGCTCATCGGCCATTAGACATAAACATTACACAACAAGTTGGGAAATCGCAAATTCAACAATGAGTGGTTTGGAAGGAATCAGTGACTAACTACTATTTTGCTTCCCCTGCCTGCTATTCGGTAGAAAGGGTGTGTGGTCTGGTTTAAGGATTTAAAACATCTGTCTAAAAGGTTCTCTTTTCCAAGCTTAAAAGGATAAACATTCACACGCAACACAATGGGACAGAAAAGGTCAAATACAGTGGGGAAAAAAGTATTTAGTCAGCCACCAATTGTGCAAGTTCTCCCACTTAAAAAGATGAGAGAGGCCTGCAATTTTCATCATAGGTACACGTCAACTATGACAGACAAAATGAGAAAAAAAAATCCAGAAAATCACATTGTAGGATTTTTTATGAATTTATTTGCAAATTATTACATTTACGTCATTTAGCAGACGCTCTTATCCAGAGCGACTTGCAAATTGGTGCATTCACCCTATAGCTAGTGGGATAACCACTTTACAATGTTTTTTTTGTTTGTTTTTTTTCTAGGGGGGGGGGGGGGGGGGGGGGCGGGGGGTAGAAGGATTACTTTATCCTATCCCAGGTATTCCTTAAAGAGGTGGGGTTTCAAATGTCTCCGGAAGGTGGTGAGTGACTCCGCTGTCCTGGCGTCGTGAGGGAGCTTGTTCCACCATTGGGGTGCCAGAGCAGCGAACAGTTTTGACTGGGCTGAGCGGGAACTATGCTTCCGCAGAGGAAGGGGAGCCAGCAGGCCAGAGGTGGATGAACGCAATGCCCTCGTTTGGGTGTAGGGACTGATCAGAGCCTGAAGGTACAGAGGTGCCGTTCCCCTCACAGCTCCATAGGCAAGCACCATGGTCTTGTAACAGATGCGAGCTTCAACTGGAAGCCAGTGGAGTGTGCGGAGGAGCGGGGTGACGTGAGAGAACTTGGGAAGGTTGAACACCAGACGGGCTGCGGCATTCTGGATGAGTTGTAGGGGTTTAATGGCACAGGCAGGGAGCCCAGCCAACAGCGAGTTGCAGTAATCCAGACGGGAGATGACAAGTGCCTGGATTAGGACCTGTGCGGCTTCCTGTTTAAGGCAGGGTCGTACTCTCCGAATGTTGTAGAGCATGAACCTGCAGGATCGGGTCACCGCCTTGATGTTAGCGGAGAACGACAGGGTGTTGTCCAGGGTCACGCCAAGGCTCTTCGCACTCTGGGAGGAGGACACAACGGAGTTGTCAACCGTGATGGCGAGATCATGGAACGGGCAGTCCTTCCCCGGGAGGAAGAGCAGCTCCGTCTTGCCAAGGTTCAGCTTGAGGTGGTGATCCGTCATCCATACTGATATGCCTGC